GTAGACGATTTATTAGACAAATAAGGATAGAATTTGTATATGGGAGAGTTTTTGAGTCTAAGCTCCACAAGCTTATGTTGCTCACTAAATAATGTGCTGCCGTATTTAAACCATAATCATTATGTAAAAGATACCTATATTCTGTTCAATTAAGAATTCAAAATAGTATAGCCATATTTTTGAAGAGAATCCATTAAAAGCAAGCCAGAAATTTCGGAAAAAATCTTTGTATTTTAATCATAAAAGGCTAGTACTCGAGATAAATGACCGAAATGGGAGAGGTTGCTTTAAATTCAATCAAAAATAAAATGAATTTCTTAACAAACCAATCTCAATATTAGTCAAATACAACTTCATATTAGAAAAATGAAAAAAAAGTTACTAATTTTTCATCGTATACAACAAAATTTTGTCTTGTAAATTGAACGTATGCTTAATATTTTACTGGAATTTTTTTAATCACCTTTTATAAAATTTTTTTTTGAGTAATGATCTGCACTTAGATGATAAAATATCAAAAAACCCTAAAATTATTTCTGATCTTATCAAATTCGAATTTCATTTGCGTTGACTAAAATAATAATAATCGAAAAACTTTATTTAAAAATTATGGGGAAATAATCAAAATTAATAAATATTAAAACTGGTGCACAAAATACATAATACTCTCAAATATTTTCCCTTAATTCCCAAAAATAAAACGGAAATAAATATTCACCCCTATTTCGTTTATCGCTTTAATATTTCATTTTAATTATTAAATATTTTTGACCTTTAATATTATTCCCACGTTTTTTACAAATTACCTAACTTTCCCTTAATAATGAACTCTTCACATAATACATACGTATACATATGAGATCAAAGAGAAATTGCAGCCGAAACTGCATTTTTCTTTAATTCAACAAAAATAATCTTTTATAACAAAAAAACAGAAATTGTTATTATACCCTCTATTTACAGTAGTAAATGTTATGTTAAATTTTCATTTTTATTTCTTATAAATTAAATATTATCTTGTCTGTTTTGTTATATATTGTGTTACAATGAGTAATTTAATGTATATAACCTATTATAACACATTTTACACCTAAGTATTTTGAGAACAGATGTTTTCACAAAATTGTATGATAAAATTGAATATTTCGTTTGTAATATGCGAAGGGTTATATAAGTTGAATCATAAATGACATAAAGAAACATGGTGACATAGAAGGAGAGTAATTGCGTGAATTTTGCAACGTTTTTTATGTGAGTCCGACGCAAACGTATTGAGCTTTTATGATTTAGTTTGAAACTATACGTGCATTACTACTCTTTTGTAGCCTGTTAGTGAATCAAGGAAGATTTTTTGTGGAAGATTCATTGTAATGATGAGGTTGCATGGAACATAAATCGATAAAATATATACAACCGAAAGTTATTTAAAATAATTCTTAAGTATGCATATGAAATGCAAAACTATTATACCAATTCCGCATATACGGATGATAAAAAAAATTTAAAGAAAAATTACAAAATTGCTACTTTGCACAGTATACCCTTAGAGTTAATAAAATAAATTTTACAATTATACAAACTCTCATAATATAATATATCAATAACATATGGGAGCAGATGTTTTTATAGTTCATTACTTAATGTTAGAAAACAAATTCATTCGTTTCGTTCATAAGTTCATTTAAGATCATATAATGCATTATATATTTTTCTTATTATATAATAACTTTATATTTCTGGGAATAATTTATTAATATGAGTTTTAACTGCGATCATATTAAATTTTTTATACTTAGAAAGTAAACCAAATGAATTTCATTTGATAATGCACTCCCATTAACTTATATACAATCAATAAACATTACAATGTTTAATATAAGTATATGACAGTATAAAAGAAACAGTAAATTTGTATTACTGTTGTTATATTTTCATACCCGTACGAATGTATGCTCGAAGGGTAATATAAATTTGCCTTATCGTTTGTAACGCTGAAAAATAATAGTTTGAGATATATAGACATAAAAATATGTTTTTGATCATCGTCGAATTTTGAGCCGATTTGAATACATATGTCCTTACGTCCGTCCGTCCTAACCAGTGATAACTCAAAAATCAATTGAGCTAACCTCATCAAATTTGCACAAACGATTTATAACAGTAAATACTGGAACCCTATTTAAATTAGAAGTGAGCGAAGCAGTGGTTCGAGTGGCTGCCCTAAAACTTCAATAATTATTTGGAAAATCTGATATTTGAAGCTATAATATCAAAATTTCGAAGAAGCAAATTTATTATTAGGGCTATTATGTGTGATGAAAGTCGTTGTTATTTCTTGATTCGTTGTGGTAGCTGCCATACAACTTGAAAAATTATTTGGTTAGATCTCAGTTTTATCACAAGCAAATATTTTATTTCAGCGAATAGAGAGTAAAATAGTGGAAATGTCTTGACTTGTGGCGTCACCTTCCCTACAACTTTGAAAGTTATCTGATCGAATATTATGGAAACAATTGAAATTACAGGGCTGAATCCATAAACGAATAAAAAACCAGGACTACGTATGGAAGAGTATTGCAAATAACATACAGCATTCGTAAATTTGAATCATTCATTCGTACGGATACGGGTACGGGTACTTGTGACATGGTTAATTTTACCTAATCTCGTTTTGTTAATATTTTCATTTGAATTATTTTTTAACCTTAACTAAATATTTCTATAAACGTATATTTAAACTCGTATCTATATTGGTAGTTATGAAAAGACGAGGGTGAAGCAATATTTTGTATTTAGAAAATTTTAAAATGTTCCTTAATATTCTCTTTATTGGCATATATTACATAAAAAAAAGGAAAATAAAATTATATTTTGAATGGAATTTTTATGAAAGGATATTAAGAATAAGGAAGAAAAGGATAATAATTCGGACTTTTACTCTACAATGTTTGTAAGATTCTTTTTGAAAAATGTTAGTACACATTGTTTGTACACAGAGTAATAATATGTATATAATGTACATTCTTATATAGAACATTAAAAATAATAATGACTTTTGTTAAGATTATCAGTTGGTTTATACCCATGGCTTTATTTCAATAAGGCTCCTGTATATGTGCTTATACAAACATACGAGTATTATGCATTTTAATATACGTACAATGTTATTTGATTAAGAAGATTTACAGAGCATATAAAAGTACATTTCATAGGTTTTATAGTACATACACATACACATATATATTATTTATTATATTATATGGGACCTATGCTACAATATACACAATAATGAAGTTTATGAGAGGATAAAAATGTGAAAGATCATTGTATTTTCATTTAAGTAATTTTATAGTTTTCAAAAAATATTTGAAAATAAATTTTGTTTAAAGAATTTTTTTTTATTTTAAATATTAATAAATTTTAGAAATTTTAAAAATATTTTTGAATTTACACATATACAAAGTTAGAATAATTTTGAGAAAAGAAATAAAATAAGTAAATAAGTGTTTTAAAAAACTTTATAATCCGGAAGTTCTTTAATTAAATAATTTTGGAAACTTTTCACTTTGAAGAAATATGGAATGAATTTAAGGAATTCAAGAATCATACTTATAAAAATAATTAAATAATTTTCTCTTTCAGTAGCATGTTATGGAAGATATGAAACAGGGTCCAAGGAAATATAGCACTGAGCTAATTGTGTTTTTGAATAATTATGTGGGAATACGATTTTATGGAAAACTGAAAAACTATTTCAAGCACATTACTTTACAATATTAGAAACTGCAATTAAAGTTAAACAAATGCCTGCGAGTTATTTGCAATATACACTGGCCCAGGCGAATAACAAACGCGGAACTCTGGGAGATTACGATTCAGGAACCAATAGGGTTAACTATCAAAAGAAGAAAATGGAAATAGATTGCATATACAAGGATCCGAAGGGCGCCGGTTATGATAATGCGATAGGGGATGAGATGGCAAAAGAGATGTGGGAAGATCTCGACTAACATGGAGGTGAAGAATTGCCAAAGAATTAGCAATAGCTGGAAAAACGTGGGTAGAAATAAAAACGTGAGCAGAAATAAAAACATTGGCGCAAAATAGAGCTCGATGGAGAAGCTTTGTGAAGCCCTATGCCCCAAAGGGAGTGAAGTAGGAAAAAAAAAGAAAACTTTTAAATATTATGAAGGCAGCAGCATTCGACAATAGAATATTTAACAATCGAATTTGAATGCTATTTCTGCAAAATAATTGGAAAAAATTTTGCATTTTTTAATTACATTGGAATGAAAAGACGTCGTTAATAACTAGAGACTCGTCAGGGAAGGCTAAAATAAATGATGAGAAATAACAATATAAGAACGTGATAACTTCTCTCTAAAGTAAATAAGATAAGATGATTGACAGAGAAAGGGGGAGAAAAAATGGAACGAGAGAGTGATTAAACTGAAGTGACATATTTAAATTAAAGTTCGAAGAGAGTTACTAATTTGCAAAAAAATTTAAATTTTTTGTTATCTGGGTTGAATTTAATATGGTTTTAGGATTCCTATACCATAAAATACTGAAGGTTAATAATATACCCACTTCACGTTACTTAGTAGTGGGAAATAATTTTCTTTGCAGTGAAAAATAAATGTTGACCACATGTTACGTGAGGGCTAATACGTTCTCATTGTTATGAATTAAATAATTGTGTGAAACTTAGTGTACAATAACCTTATGCAGTAATATACATATTGTGTTCAATGAATGAATGTAAAGAATATTACGAGTATAATGTTTAGGTAATGTTTGCAATTTTACTTTTATATTAATCGAAATCACGCATCCGTTGAGATGGAAGTATCCAAAATACGGTTAACATGTTGAAATATTAGTGAAAATTAGGGTGAATACTAAGTGAAAATCCACAATAATTATAAATTATTTATAAAAATGTAAAATATAAATCAATATATGTATATGAAAAAAATAAAATATAATAAAAATTCTACCTGATTTTGTTGACTAATAGGTGGGCAACTTTTACGTCTTATATCTCTTTTAATAGCTAATTCATACCATGGTATTATTGGTTTACTACGTAAAGTTGTTTGACAACCAACTTTAAATACTAATGGATCAATATAATCAGTAATATTAATATCATCTTCAATTGGTGTTACACTAGAATTCCATGGTAAATTATTAACATTTGTTGTACTACCACCGCTACCGTATGTCGCTGCTAAATGTCCGGTTGAATTATTTGACATTAATGATAGCATTGGTGTTCTTTGATAAAAATTACGTTGATGTTGACTGTCTATATCATTATTAAATATACTGCCATCAATACCATTATTATTATTATTATTATTGAAAGAAATATTATTTGTACATGCTGAATTTAATCTTGGGTGGCCTAACGTATGATAACGTCGATGTTTAAATGTTTGATTTTCAAAACCAATATAATTAATACGATCATGGCTACTATTATTAATATTTAAATTTTCATTTGATTTAATATGTTGTTGGTGTTGTTGTGGTAAAATTAAATAAGATAACGGTGTTGTTGTGGTTGTTATTTGTGTTGTATTATAACTAGAATAATCTTCAATATTTGCACTTGAACTTCTTTTAAATGGTATACTATTGTTAATACCATTGGAATTTATAGAAGAATTATTTATTGTTTCATAATCACCACCAAATAATGATTTCTCTCTTGTTGAATTCGAAATATCACTATTGTGAATTGAATTTATTGATGATTTTGATGATATTTCACTTGGGCTATAATAATTTGTTTGAGGATTATAAAATTCTAGTGAAGTTTTTATCTTTGGTTCTATTGTATTAAAAATTGTATTTAATGGTGTACTACAACTATTCGGTTTCGGTGATGATGGTATACTAGCACTTCTATTATGCTGATAAGTATTTATTGTATTACTATAAATTATATTAGTATTGGTATTAGTACCATTCTTGTTACATGCTGTTGTTCCATTAAATTTATTGTTAAGATGATTTTGATCAATTTTCACATCGTTTGTGTTATTAGTAGTGGCTAGAGAATTACTTTCGCCAATTGTTGAAGTAAAAAGGGAAAACGAAGTTTTCTTCGGTTGTAATGTTGCTGATCTCATAGATGATTTTCTAACTATATTATTGTTATTTAATGGTGTTGTTTCTTGTTCCATTGTTTGCGGTTGAATTGATTTTGATTTATTAGTTGTTGTTAAATCTTGTAATTGAATCATTTCATTCTCTGGTGGTAATATTGAATCACATATTATAGAAGATTTTGATTTTGGTGATGATGTTATTTGACCATTTGTCATATTATTTGTTGCTGTAATAAAATCTTCAATTTCATCATACGAACGATTTGATGATCTATTCATACCTGGCAATATATTTGTATATTGTGGTGATTCTGGAGCTGAATATAAAAATATACCATCTTCAGATGGATTATCTGGTGTTTTTGGTGTTGTACTACTTTGTAATGATTCTAATGAGAATTGTGAATTCTTTTTAATATTTTGTGTTACTGTTGTATAATTCGATTGTGGTGATGATGGTAATTGTGTTATTTGTTCACCAATAGGACGAAATGTTGAACATGGTAATGAACTTGGACTTGAATATAATGGTTCCGATGTTGTTGGATCAATTAAACCATTTGCTGATTGATAATGTCCTTTTAGGAAAGATAATCCTGTATCAGTATTAGTAGATGTAGAAATTATATTTGAATCTTCATCATCATACAAATTTGATGTATATTCATCAAAATCAGCTGAATTTGATTTTAATGATTTTGGACGAAAACGTTCCAATTGTTCAGCACGACTTCGAGTTCTTGTAAGGCCACCTTTTCTTATTGTTGCGAAACCATCATGTATTTGTGTATGAGGTCGCATAATTGATACACGTTTCGTTGTCATTTGGAATGTTTTTTTGAAATTTTATTTATTAGCATTTTTTTTGTTGTTGTATTTTTATTAAAATCACTTTTAAGTTTATAATCACGTTTTGGCTTTATAAAACCAATTTTTTAAAATTATCATTTTATCTTTTGAAACATTGTTTCTTAATTTGAAAATTCTGTAAAGTATTTAATAACTTTAGTTAATTGGACTCGACAGCATACATGCATATTTATTCCACAACATTTTACTTAAATTTTTAGAAAATTTCATTGGTCTAGTAAAAACCTACCTACTTTTTGTATAAACTATTGAAATTTTTCAAAAATCAAGAGCAAGGGACTAAAACCAGTTCAAAAATGTGAGGTGTCTCATTAAAAAACATAGCCTATTACATGTGGTTCTCAAAATTAAGTCATAAAATATTGATAATCTTATAGTTAACTACTTACTAATTTTAGTTCCTTTGAATTTTTCACAGTTTCCATAATAAAATTTATTGTTATCAAAATGTATGATACCTCTTTTCACTAACATTTACCAAAATAAACTGATTAGTGCCTAAAAAAAATTTCTACTGTTCCTATATAATAAAAATTAAAAAAAATATAATCTGCATTGCATATAAGATTTACGAGTCACCTTTAGGTTAAAAAAAAAGTGAAATTTTGTTTTTGTTTTAAAAAATACCCAGAAGATGGTTATTGAATAATTTAAAATTATAACTAAATTTAAGTCCGCAATATATTTGAAGAAAAGGTTAAAATAGTTTTACTACTCTGAAATTATGCATATACCGATAATTAAATTCAAAATCATATAGCATAATTAAATATGGATTATTTAGATTGTAGATTTTAGCATTGTAAAAATTTTGTGGAAGTGTTTTGGAGGTTGAAGCAAAAATATTAAAAATTTGTGAATATTTTTTAAATTTAATTGTGCGACTGCTGCTTTTTTGTGGGCTGCCATCTTCTGTCGTGGAAGCTCGGCTTGCCTGTCTATTTAAGGCGGAATGCGACTTTCACTGACAGAACATGATGGGGTGCCATTATGCAAAAATGTTTCTTCCATCGCGTTCCGTAAAGTTTACCGCGGAGTTGTTTGGGATGGATAAAAACCGAGTGCATACTGTTATTTATTTCTTTACTGAACAATACCCAGTAAGGTATCATCTACATAAGCTGGTGAAATCGGAATCCCTCTTGTACTGATTTTGTGGGGGCGGCGACGAAACCGCTGTGCATATTCTTTGCGACAGCGCGGTACTAGCTCCAGTTTTACACCCGGAATACGCGGAAGTGTGGGGTGGCTATAATAAGTCGCGAATAGCTGCGGTGGCATAACTGCAGATATGTCCTCTTGCCCCACTCGGTACCCTTGGAATCCATCAATCTACCAAGAGATAGAAAACTTTTCACCCATCTAATGTTTATTATGAAAAAAAAAATCATAATCTCTTTTATTTCTAAATTAATTTTAATAAAAATATGTAAATTTTACTTCCCAAATTTTAAAGAAAAAAATTCATTATGATTTTGTTTTTATAAATTTTAAAGTATATTTAAAATATAACATTAATAAAACTGACAATTTTAATATTATGCTAATATTTAATACATTATCACCTTTCTAGTGGTAGTCTATACTTAGCCTATTGGAAGCTTTATTAAAAGGCAATATTATTCAATAAAAAGAGAAATAAGAGAACTAAATTTACTAATAATACAACTCCATTTTAATAAAGTCATTACTCATTCTAAAATTACTTTGATTGTTAGTCTTTTGTATTTCAAAATGAATAGATGTTCATTGAACTGCTATTGAACCTCCATTTAGATATTAAAAATCACAACTATTTAAAATCTGGGAAAATTTAAGATTAAAAATAATCTTGTTCTTAATTAATGAACATTTTAATGAAAATCTTCACATTTCTTCGATGTTGATGTTGTTGTTTGCTGATACACTTGTTAATATGGGGTCTTGGGTATACAAATTAAAAATATTGTATGATTTTTAATTTGTATACCCAAGTCTTATTCTTATACTAATATGCTACACTTAAATTGACGGTATATACAAGTCTTAATTTTTTAATTTTACGTTTAAAATTTATGCGAACGTGATGGTTATTTAAACACGTTTTCTTCTTTATTATAAAAAAATTACTAATGATAAAAGTTAAAGCAATAAATGCAATACATGGAAGTAAAAACAAAACGTAGCAATATGCAATATTTCCTTACAGAACAATTAGCACACCCAAAAGAAGAGAAAATATTATAATATTTAAAAGTTTTGTATCATATTTTTCGATTGATTTCGAATATGAACTATTCTTATTCAAATTTTATTGATAATGTAGCCCGATTTAAAAGATTCTTATTTAACGTGAGCTCTCAGCAGCATAAATGATGCAACAATTACTAAATCTATAACAGAAGACATAAAAGCCTGAATACTTTCATTACTTATAGTTACAAACATCTTTCATTGGGTAAGAATGCAATTTAAGTGGCATATTAGCAAAAAACATAGCAAACATTATACGTTTCTAACAAAAAATCATATTTAAAATGCAGAAAAATAAATTATAAACTAAAATAATTGTAATACAATACTTATACTATACCGCTTTAAATAACTTTAAACATACGATAGAAAGCTTATAAACTCTTTAATATTATAATCTTATGATATTAGCAAGCAGCGGTATTATTATTTTTCATTATAGTTTGCGGCATGATATATTAGCTTAGTATAATTATTTCGTAATATGAATGAATTGAGGAAGTATTTAATTACTTAATAAATCAAAACTTAAATCATAAATAAGCTTTTAACTAACTGCATATATAATATTTTTGTTTGTGACTCCTTATATGCCATTACTCTTTTTTTAAATTGGTTTAAAACATAAGTAAATAATTATAAGGTTGCTATCATTTATTTTGAAAGAATTGATGAAAATCACTTTCATGGCACTTTAAAACAGTTTCATGCGCATTCTTTATGTAATATACAAGATATGCTGTTGTTGTATTGTATATTACATAATATAATTTCTAACTATTAAAGTATATTGCGTGTATAATGCATTCACATTGTAGTAAATACTTGTTGCATTTTTTTCATGAATTAAATTTACGATTTATACGCGGCAATTTAAAAAAAAAAAATGTACTTAATATTTTCAAACCATGACTTAAATTATCAGAGACTATGCTATCTTTAAAATTATTTTAATTATCTCTACCGTATAGAAACTTAATGCTATAAAAACAGCAAGTTAAACAACAAAACTATACAAGAAAACAGAATTGTTATTTTATATAGACAATAATTCACTAATTAATTCCTCCGCATTTAAGTTAAAGATTATTTAATTTAACGATCAGTGATCATTGATCAATACTTATAAATACTTAGCTTTATGCAAATTACTCATAAAAATATGTAAATAAGGTAGTGTGGTGCACTTTATTAATTGTCCATAGAAAACAAGAATTTATTGACGAATTCGAATTGGTGATACTTCTACGAGTATATTATATTTCCATATTATAATTATAGTAAACTATTGATTTTAAGGGCTACTTATTATTAAATAAACTTATCGTAATCCAACCAGGATTTGGGATCAGAATGCAAAACAAAATTGGTCTAATTATGTAAAATGAATGATGTGAATAGAAAATAATAGTATCTTTATGATCTAGATTAGAAATTTTGGTGTACTTCAATGTTATTCTGTTATACACTCTAAATATTCACTGTTATACTGTTTTCAATATAACAGTAAAGTGTATAACAGTTGTTGTTTATTTTTATTTTTTAAAATTTGGTTTTTTTGTTGTAAGTTTTCAATGACGACACTGACTTTCAGTTTGCCTGCTTTTCAGCGCCTCTTGCAAATGTTTACTCTGTATATATGGCAGATCCGACGCTGACGGTGCCTATCTTTTAAAACGTCTTTTTGACAATTATTTGCCCAGAAGTTCAATTATAAAAAAATAACTTAACATTATATGAATATCTTAGCTGCTTCTGTTTCGTCAATTTGAATGATTTTAAATGGAACACACTCTAATTCAACTTGTAATTACTTGAATTTTATATTAATAACGTACTACTATGATTTCGAAGTCAAACAGACATACTGTGTTATTATTGCACCTGGAGGATTTGAATAAAATTAAAGCAAAAAGAAAAATTTGTATGTAAAACATATTATTTATTTTACTCATTTACCCACATACGTACATATGCAATTTTTTTTAAAAATTATAATGACGGACATTAAAAAAATTTTGATCTGATGGTATGCCAATCAACTTGTAAGCTCATAACTCTTTTAAATTATAATGAATTTATATAGCATTTAAGACACAAACAAAAAACAAAATTTTAATTTTTTTAAGTTTTAATTTTAAATTCAAGTTAAACGCCAACACATACAACATATTTTTTTTTTTATGAATGAAGTTGGATAAGCAACAATATTGGCTGGTACTCAAACAAGTCTGTTTTACAATAAAAGTTAAGAATGCAAAAGAGTTTTAAATAATGTATAAGGTATTTGTTTTCGATTTCGTGAGTATTGTTAAAAATTAAAAAAAAAATCAAATTCAAGTAATCTGCATAAGTGAATTTTTGGATATACTTTTATTTTAATACCGCGCGGTATTAAAAATACGTGTATAGTCAAAACCCAAGTTTATAAATTAAAAATCTAGTTTATTATAATTTTTTATTCGATTTTTTTCTTGTTTTTCTTCCAAAATACATAAATATTTAAAAAAAATTTTTAAATTGAAATATGGAAAATATTTTGGCTGTTGTATCTTTCAAGTATTTGCGTTTTAAAGAAAACCAAGAAAAAAATTTATTCATTTAACATAATTTGAATAAAATCGAAGTTTATTTTGAAAAATAAAAACGAAGAATCAGAAAAATTAATAACATTACTGGTATAGACCATTATTTTATGTATGTATACATAGGGTTGGGTCATAAACTATGAGAATATTTTATATAAACACGTGTATAGATGTGTTTATACATTGTCTATATGACAATCAAAGAATTTTCAATTAAAAATAAACATTTATTTTATGGACTGTGTGTATTATGAAGGTGATCAAGCATGAAAATAGATATTTGCATAAAATAAGG